ACGTGGGAGAAACCTCGTGCACTTCGCAACGATGATATCGACTTGACAGCGGTATATGATGGGAAAGAGGAAGACACGTCCGAAGCTGAGCCTACAGAAGAAGAAAGTGGTCTACAAGTGGTTGATCTGGACAATGACAATAAAAATGAAGAAAATGAAGAGAAATATCTAGGTTATTCGACACAAGATGTGGCGCTTGCTCGGGAACAATTTGCACACTACGACGCGGATTCTAGTGGATCTATCAATGCTAATGAGCTCCACAAACTCTTCACTAACCTCGGTGAACAACTCACGTTAAACAACGTTCGTGAACTTATTAAAGCAGTTGATAAGGACGGCAACGGAGAGGTGGATTTCGATGAATTTCTCCACTTGTTACGTAAGCAACAAGACAAGAATCGGTACTCAGCATCATTGACACTCGCGTTGCTCTTTGGACCCAAGGAACTGACTAAACTCAAGCAACAATTCATGATTCTCGACTTGGACGGAAGCGGATCCATCGACGAGCACGAACTGCAACAATTAGTCAACAAATTGGGACGTCGTGCAGAAGAATTCGATTTACCGGCTATGCTGCGTGAGGTTGACGGCGACGGGAGCGGCACCATCGGCTTCAATGAGTTTCTACAGATCGTGGCAAGTATGACAAAGAGCGATGGCGGTCCTAAATCTGCCTTTGCCGTTCTACTGGATATGGGTATTGCACAAGGACTACTTAACGGATTGGATGAGGTGGTGCAAGCTTCAAGGCAGAAGGTCTACGAATGGCTCAACTCTGACCTCGTAGCAGAGCAAAAGCGACTTCAAGGGAAGCGGGAGCGTCGACGACGCCAAGAAGAAGAACGACAGCGTCAACTGGCAAAAGACCAAGAGTTATACGCTAAACACCAGGCTGAACTCGCTGCTATCGAGCGAGCGCGTCATGCTCAAATCGAAGGTTTAATGATCGAAGTCGAGTTCGAAGGTGACGGTCGTAACTTTCCACTTGCAGGACAATTCGCGCGTGTCCACTACGTCGCCAGCTTCGAGCGTACAGGAGAAATCTTTGAGTCTACACGCGTAAGATGTGGCAGTGCACTTGAGTTCTGCGTAGGTGCTGGTCATACTATTCAAGGATTCGACTTGGCCTTGCAACGCATGAGTGTTGGCGAGACGGCAAAAGTTACGATCGCTCCTGCACTGACTTACGGCGTGAAAGGCCGGCCACCTCGAATTCCACCCAACTCTGCGCTTGTGTTCCGAATTGAGCTCATTAGCATCAAGGAGAAGCTCCAATCGAACGAGATGGCACCAATGACACCTCTGGAGCGAGTACGGAACAGATAGCCATTAGGCGGCCAAAAGTTCAGAATCTCAGCTCAGTGTGGCGAGTTTGACTGGCCATTTACACATCTTCGTGCACAAGAATCGGTAGATGCACCCGCGTACGTGTTTGTTGGCGTCTTATTCGTGTTCCATTCACATTCTGGTGGTCACGAGCTCAAGTCGTCAAGATCACAAAGAGTTGCGATGTCAAATGACAAGGATAGTGTTATCTCTTTCTGGATTCCAAGATGCTTTCGGCGGAAGAAAACTCCACCAACTGTCGAGATGATTGGAAACATATTCGAGCAGCGGATCATGCAGCGACTAAAGAAACACAAGCGATCGTCAAGACTGAAGCACTCACGACCTCGACCTATTAGCTGTGAGTTCAAGACACTCGACGTACCAGAT